ATAAACAGATATGTAGACACTAAGCTGGGGAATCTATTACTGTCGGGGTATTCGCTACTACAGGGGACCTAGACTTTAGTGTCGTATGGGTTAGTATGTTATGAACAATGTTGAATTTGGATGATACTGCCCTGTAATAACAGAACAGGAACATAATTGCCAGTATTAAACTCATGTTGCCCTCGCATAGGAATGTGGATCAGAATTGCATTGTGCGTGAGGGTTGACTCCAACAGTGGGTAATAATAGTGAACCTCATTGTCATTGAAAATAGGAGTTAAATGATACTGCAACTTGGCTATTTTTAAAGCTTCAAGAAGCGTCTGCACAGGCACAAGCTTCGTGTCCACACGACCTATCCCGGCACCTACAATGCTAACTATTAGTTCATTTTTAGAGGTTACAATTTTATGAATTGAAATTTCCGCAGCATGCAAATATTCTGTGAAATAAAGGAGCCATTCTAACGTCGGGATTGCTTTCTGTAACCTAGAAACAATCCTCGAAACTTGGTTAGACTCCACTATGATTGCATTAACCTTTGATTCTAGAGCAGTAATCGAGTGAAAGGTTTGAGAAATAACACGATTCTGTTGAGATACAGCCTGAACGACAACGTTCATTCGGTCCCCCAATTTAGCTACATCATCGGCCGTCGCTGTGCCAAACAAAGCGCTTTGGATGAGACCCACAAAATTAAAGAGATCCCTTTTTCGTCGTGCTTGAGAACGCACTTCTTGAGCAAGATCCGCTTGAGACGCAGGTAGATTTTTCCCAACATCGACGAGAAACTCGCGAAGGTTCTGGAGACGAAAGTGTAGAAGGTTTATAGTTTGTGAAACTATTATCGAATTCATCGAAGCTGTGCTGAGACCATGAAGGATGTCCAATGCTGATTGTAGTTGGCCGTCGACGTTTTCCATCAGACGCGGAAGTTGGAGTAGTGGCTGTAGTTCATACTTGATGTTCACCATGTCCTCAACTATGAGAACGCGTCCGAGAGGTGCCGCAAGTGCACCTGGTTTGAGGACTGATGTGGATATGTCTGTCAACACAACGGTGCCACAACAGAGTATAAGTAACACACTGACGATCCAAGCAATTCTGTAAGGAATTACAAACGAGTTAACGTCTACTCGCAGAACGTAGTTTCATACAATAGTCATTTGGGACATTTTGCTTCTGGACAGTCTGTAAGGATGTATCAATCACATCATCATCAACTGGAGGTAATACATTTATCTGGGTCTTCTTCAGACGATCCGCGTGCACGACATCTGCGATCTGTGCATTAGGCTTCCAAATTTTGAATTTGTTGCCTGCTTCTTTTGAGATTATGCGGAATGGACCAGAAAATTTCGCCGAAAGTTTGGAGTTCCTTTCAGGTTCTCTTAACATAACAGCATCCCCAACGTTTAGTGCGACAGGTTTAGCATGTTTATGTTGTTTGACGATCATTTCGGCGCGTGACGCCGCTAGATGTGATCGTACTTGGTTATGAATATCTGTAAAGACATGAATTTGTTTTGCCGTGAAATCATCCGTATTATAAACCGGGTATGGCGCATCTGTAAGCATGTCGTAAGGCAGACGTTTATTTGTACCATAGACAATTTAGTAGGGTGTTTTGCCCGTAGAGCTATTAACTGACCCATTAATAGACGCTGCAACCTGCGGTAACCAATCCTCCCATGCGTATTGAAAACCACTGACAATTGGATGCAGTATTTCTAGGATTTTACGATTGGTTCTTTCAACAAGGCCATTAGCCTGTGGATGATAAGCTGTCACAAAAGTTTGTTTAATACCATATTGTGCACATATATGCGCTACTAGCTGATTCTTGAACTCTGTTCCATTGTCAGAGAGCAGAACTTTAGGCGTAGTATATGGACATATAAGATTCATCACTAATGCATAGGCTACTGCTTCGGCCGTTCTGCTTTTTAGTGGGACCAAGACCACGAACATTGAAAAATGATCCACACACACTAAGACGTATCCTGATCCCTGGTGACTCATTGAGAGTTGTAACAAGTCAATAGCGACTGTGTCAAACGGACGGTCTGGTGTAGGATATTGTAGAATCGGGGCAGGTGATCCTGTTGAACCTTTATGTTGAGCACACGCCAAACAATTAGCTATGTGTAATTCTATGTCTTTCTTCATAGTGTTCCAGAAATACTTCTTTCGTAAATCCGCTAAGCATTTATCACGACCTTGGTGACCTGCCTGTGGGACATCGTGGAACAATGTAATTACTGCTTTGCGCAACGTGTCAGGTACGACTATTTGAGACACTTTACCCTCAGGAGATTTTCTCGTCCTATTGAGTATGTTATGTCGTAATTTAAACTGACTTAAGGGAAGAAATAACTTGGGGAGTTTAACATCCTCACCGGATTCGAGAGCAAAAATAACAGCTGACCAATATGGGTCGCGTCGTTGCTCATCTTCCAGTATACTGCCAGACTGGGGTCACTAAATCTAAGGGGATAACTTAACTCTAATCTTAATGTCTAAGGGTCGCTGCCACCAGACCCCCTCTGGACAGCATGTAGCTCGTTAGGTAGCGGGCAGAGCGGACTAGGCATTGGGTTAGGTTTTCCATTGATCAGATCGATAAGGGTAAAGAAGGGTGAAACCATAACATGTCTTAATTGATTTATTTCTTATAAAACACACTGGTAAAAAAAAACACATACAACCACACTGTGGACCATAATTCCAAGGCCTGTCCCAGGGTATAGCACTGGCGCCTCTAACAACTGTTGTTGTGGTCGGTTACACTCCGACCCGAGATGGGTTTGGGGGCCTCGGCCCACGAGGTAGAGTAGAGCCGATTAATCATGACGAATCATCGCCATCACTCCTATATTGACCTCTGTTGGGTATCCACCGGCTCCGAGCGACCGGTGGGTTTCAATTAAGCCCACCCTCGATCTGGAGATAAACGGGAATCAGCGTCAGGGAACCGAAACATGACAACACCAACAAACTCTCTCGTCTAGACGACAGACGTATTTACGTTATATTACTTCTACACTGGGTGAATGACAATTCAACTGTTAAATCATGAACACTGGTGAACACTGATAATCACTACAATTGACTGAATTAACTGAATGGCTAGGAAACACAGAACATACCTGGAGATAAACGGGAATCAGCGTCAGGGAACGCTGCTTCCTCGCTATCTCGAACTTATATACCCCTGAGTTGCCAGTGATCGCCACTCACACAATGACCATAATTACAAACAAACTAACTGTTACTCATTCAAAGACGACCCTCAGTTGACAAAGGTCTGGCGAATTACTTGGGTTGATTTACACAGACTAATTCAAGATTGAGCTTCCCAGGAGAAAGTGGAATAAACAACGTATTGATAACTGTCTTCACAAAGGCGGGGCTTACTGAGGGATCGCGAGGATAAACACGCTCCAGAGATTCTACAAGCGCGGTGGATTTGAATATTATGTAGCGTAATATGAATTAAAACGGGTTTTTAGGAATGACAATGAGCTGCCCAGTACACCAGCTGCGAAAGAGTAAATGTTGATACAGGCATGACTGGTGCTATATTTCTTGACAGAGCGTGGGCGACAACATTCGCCCTCCCAGGTAAATACCTAAATTCGGGGTCAAACTCTTGATAAGTTTCTGCCATGGAACAGTTCGGTGACTGCCGCATGATCAGTAAAAACAGTTATCTTGTAGCCAAAGATAATGTCCTTGAACTTCTTAAGTGCCCACACAACGGCTAACGTTTCTAAATGCGTCACCGAATAACGTGTTTCAGCATCGATTAGTTTGCGACTTGCAAATGCTATCACTCTAAACTTCCTACGCGTATCCTCTTGCATGAGCACTGCTCCGACTCCAATTCCGGAAGCGTCAGTACAGAGAGTGAAAGGTTGAGTGTAGTCTGGGAATGCTAGAACCGGGGCATTGGTTAGCGCTGTCTTCAATGCCGTAAAACTTTCTTCGTGTTCAGCATCCCATATAAACATTGCATCTTTTTTGAGCAACCTCGTTAGGGGCGATGCTAATGTTGCATAGTTCTTGATAAAGGAACGATAATAACCAAATAAACCGAGAAAGCTACGCACATGATCATTTGAGGTAGGACGCGGGAACTGAGATACAGCTTTGACTTGATCATTAACTGTGTGTATGCCCTCACCGTCGACTACATGACCAAGGAAATGGATTCTGGATTTTAAAAACTCGCACGTCGAGAGTTTTATTTTGAGGCCTGCTGTGGAAAGTTTGGCCAAAACTTCACGCAGTTTAATCAGATGGGAATCGACGTCCTTACTGACTACTATTAGATCATCCAAATAAGCGCAGACTGTGTTACCAATCAATCCGGCAAACAGGGTGTTGATCATTCTTTGAAATGTTAGTGGGGCATTTCTGAAACCAAATGGCATTCGTAGAAACTCAAAGTGGCCTAGAGGCGTGCTAAATGCCGTGATTTCTCGTGATTTTTCATCGAGTAGTATTTGCCAATACCCACTGAGCAAATCTTAGTTGCTAAATACCGCATTATCCTTGCCTAAGGATTGCAATATGTCGCTCAAGATAGGCATTGGGTACCTATCAGG